AAACAAACAAACAAACAATCTTTTCATCTGCAACAAAAATATGATCATCATCATCAACATCATCATCATACTTGGATCAATCATCAATAACATAACAACAATTACAACATTAACATCTCAAAAAAACCAACCTGCTTACTACCTTACCAACCCTGCTATTTCTGTTCACCCACTCTTCCATATAACTCATTTATATATATATATATATATGCATATGTATGTGTGTTCATCCATTTCTTTACAAATCCAAAAGTTTTGAATTATAGTGCATCGAATCCTATGTCAATAGAGGATAATAAAGTTCTCGGTCTCGCGGAACCATATAAAATTTCTTCGCCTGAGCGAATGGACAGAAAGCCTATGGCGTCTGCCAATGGTACATTAGGGTTAGGACCTCGTTTTTCTTGTGGCATTTGCGGTAAAAGCTATCTACGCAAACGTCATTTACAGCGACATTCGCGCGATGAATGCATTGGCATACCGCCCCGTTTCAATTGCGAATTATGCCCTTCCCGTTTTCGCCGCAAATATCATATGGTACGGCATTTAGTATCTAAACATGGTGTACCGCAAAATATCGCTCAACAAACTACGGGTAATAGAAGTAATCAATTATCCAGAACTAGTAGGTCCGGTAATAGTAGAGGTGGTGGAGGAGGGGTAAAAGGAGGCAGAGGAGGAGGAGGAGGAGGAGGAGGGCAACACGAACAAATAGTGGGAGAAAATACAACGAAAATACTTAATAAAATTAAAACAGAAAGTTTATGTGAAAATGTGGATCCCGTAAATAACGGCTGTGACGATGGTTATGATTTACCTGAGAATCTCAGTATACGTAAGGATAAGAACTGTGTGAAATTTCCAATTTATGTTCCCAATCAAATCAATTTAGCAACAGGCTGTGGTAATAGCGGTGGCGAATGCGCCAGCGATGGTAATGCCAGCAATGAAACGGGAAATACACCTGAACCTCCAATTACTCATTTAGGATCTATGCCTACTTATGGCTTATCGGGCGCTATAACCGCCATATCAGCGGCAGCAAATCAAGTTGAAGAGAATGATGCCAAAATGTTACTGGAAGCAGCAGCAGTAGCTGTGCAAGCAGCTTCTAGCTCATCGGCAGCGTCTGCTGCAATGGACGCGCCTGGGCCTAGCAGTGAAAATATTGATGGCAGAAATAGTTCAACTTCTTTGACGATGCCTGTCAGTATAAACAATATAAAAAGCGAGAATAGTGAAAGTTTTCCGGTTAATAAATCTTCACTGACTACGCTGGAAGAAGAATGGAAGATGAAGCTTAGCTTACAAATCATATCGAATTCAATTCTAAAAGATAGACTTATGAACTCAATGCCATTTGCTTATCAAAATAATTAAGTTAAATTTAACCAAAATGAAAGTAAAAACATATATATTGTTTTTATTTGTTTCTACGTAAAAGAATTATTTTAACATTTTATTTTAAATTTTAAATTATTTTTATCGGCATCCATATTTTTTTTTTTTCAATTTTTGTAATTTTTGCATGCACCAAATAATTATGAAAGCCGTTAAGAAGAAACTTTTATTATTATCCGTCGGCGATCAATTTAAAACAAAAGTTATAAAAGTGACAAAATTGTTATTTCACAGATCGCGAGACAATTTTTTGCTACATTTTGAAAACTTAGTTACAACTTTCACTTCCCCTTAAGTTTTTCTAACGACAATGAGGAGTTAGACTTTTCAAATCCCTCTTTACCTTGCAGGACTTGTTTATGTCGGATACAAATCCACGAGAACTTGCAGCTTTTTTTTTACTGAAGAGAAATGTTTTGTAGACTGATCACTCCCTATGGGTATTACCAATGACAATGAGCTAAGCTTCTCAATTCCCCCTTTATCTTACAGAATGTGTTTATGCTGAATACAAATCCAAGAGAGTCCGTAACTTTTTTTTTAGTGAAGATAAGCGTGTTGTAGACCGATCATGGAAGAAATGTGTTTTGTGGACTGATCGCTCTCTATGGATATTTCTAATGACAATGAGTGAGGTTTCTCAATTTTCTCTTTACCTTACAGAATACTCAAAACAAATCCCACAGAGTTCTTCCGCTGAGTAATGATTTTTAAAATTGGAAATCTTCTAAAATTATTAATTGAATGAAAGATTTAGATGAGGAGCAATAATAAAAAGATTTCACTTTCATATGGTACTGGAAAACATGTTAACGGAAAATAATGGTGAACGGACGAACAGATAAAAAAAGTAATTATTGCACATATACGAAAAAAGACCAATTTCATAATCTCGCAAAAGAAAACTAACGGAGGGTTGAAGCCATTATTTCAGAAAAAATCTATACACTTTTTAAACTCAAAATATTGTGTAATTTTTTAACACAACTTTACTTTAACAAAATCTTAGAGCTTATTATTTTACATTTAATTTTTTTTTATGCCAATGATTCATTTTTTTTTTTTTCTTAGAAATTATTATTAGTTTTAAGTTTAATTTTTTCATACTAAACCAAATTTTTATCCCAAAAATTTTTTTTTTAAATTAATATAACTTAATAGAATCTACCAAAATCTTAAACTAAAAGAAGATCTCGTGAACTAAAAAACATTCCTTAGATTAAAAAAAAAAAAAAATTTATATATATATATATGTATATATATATAAATATAAAAAAGGCATATCTTTTAAACAAAGAAGAAACCAAATATAAAAAAATTTTTTTTTTGTAGTTAGAATTAAGATGAACAAATAAAATATGACATTCCAATACTCAGAAATTTTAAAAATAATGAAAAATACTCAAAAGAATTTAATATTTGCTTAGAAGCTAAAAAGAAATAAATTTAAGGTTTTTTTTTCTTTAAACTTTTTGATTAAATGCAACAATATAAAAAAAAAAGACTTTCCAGCTCGAAATTAAGAATTGTTTTTAAGCTTTTATTAAATACAACAATGTCAAAAAAAGACTTTTTTGTTCGAAATAAATGTAAGTTTTTTTTTTTGTTTTCAATATTTCATTTTTTTTAATTTTATTAAATGCAACATTATAATAAAGACTTATTCTGAAATTTTTTTTATTCAGGTAATATTAAATTTTAGTAAGCAAATATGTATATTTAATAAATTTTTGGCATATGTTTTGTTTATTAAATTAACACTTGAAAAGTAAAATTTTGAGAAAAGAAAAAAAAAAAAACGACAGAAACAAAATTTTATAACAATGTTTTCTTTACTCATATATCTTAAATATATTTAAAATACTTGCCATATATATATGTATACGTATGTATCTATGTTTAATACATTTAAATGTATTTTCGTGTTTGTTTGAGGAAAATCGATAAAAACATCAACATTTTTTTTTTAAACTAAATAAAAACTTGTGCACTTTGGTATGAAACGTAATTGTATCAGCATAACAAAGAACTTATTGTGTTTTCATATGAAATTTTGTTGTTTTTTACTTCTTTCTTTTTTTTTTTGTTTTTTTTTTTTTTCAAACTTTATGCTCAGGATATTCTTTTCTTTCTTTACAGCTTACCTCGCGGGTCCACGTTAAGCATTTACAGATTTTTTTTTAGGGTTTCAATAATTTTTTCTTTTTTTTTTATTATTATTATTATGATTTTATTTGGTACGTTTCTCAAGATGTTATTAAAAACTACATTACTAACCTATTTTTCTCTTTTTTTTTCTCTCTCTCTCTCATTAACTAAATTTCTTTTAGATCTCTTGTTGTTGTTGTTTTGAGACTACTTTTGAACTACTACTACTACTACTACTACTACTACCTCTACCAATAAATCTGCTACTACTACTTTTATTCAAGAAAATTGGAAAAAAAAAATAAATAAATAAAAAAAATATAACTTGAATAATAAATAAATAAATAAAATATTAATAAAATAAATAAATAAATAATGAAAAAATTAAAAAACCATAAAAAAAAAACAAATACTTGAGTGCTTGAAGATAATTAATAAAAAAAAAAAAAAAAACAAAACAGTTACATATAAATACTAAAAAAATAACAACATTTTCTACCTCTCTTGTTCCCTGGGTGTTTG